GAGAGAGAGAGAGAGAGAGAGAGAGAGAGAGAGAGAGAGAGAGAGAGAGAGAGAGAGAGAAATCAGGCGCAACGCCACTTTGTCAAAACGCCTCGATCGATAAGGCACCACGCTCCCGGCGCACACAGGGAGACTATCACTTTGTGAACGCAGAGGGAACGGGGGCGGCCGCCGCTGCTTTTGGCCTGTTTCGATTTCGACCACAACAGACTTCGAATTCAAACCACCACTCTACCCGACGTTGGAAATTCGGGGAACCGGTAGCATAGGTCCATATGGGCTACCAGTAGCACAAAGTGGAGAACCGCAGACTGGTGAATATGAAAAATGAGATGAATTTGCGCTATAAGCTATTTCGCGGTTGAGACAATTTTTTAAAATTTTTCAATTATTTTTTTCTGAAAAGATCATGACCAAATCTACGGACCCTCAAAATTTCAGACTTGTTTACGAGTTCTTCTGAGCGTGAAAAATCTTTGAAATAGGGGTACTTTTCCCATTGGCCCACAAGTTGTCATGTGCCAAAAATGGAGAAAGTGATGAATTGGCGCGGCATTTATTTCATGGTCTAAACGATTTTATTTTATTTTGTTAATATTTTTCTTGGAAAGATCACGACCTGACCTACCCGATATCAAATTTTCAGTTCTTTTCTCCAATTATTCTGCGTATGAAAAATCGCCAAATATCAAATTTTCATATCTTTTCTCCAATTATTCTGCGTACGAAAAATCGCCAAAGTTGGCGCTCGAAAATTGCAAGATTGGACCCGCCTGCACCTTCCAGTCGGCGCCCCCCCTAAAAACCCGCCCGTTGGAAATTCGGGGGACCGGTAGCACAGGTCCATGAGGGCTACCAGTAGCACAAAGTGGAGAACCGACAGAGTGGTGAATATGAAAAATGGGATGAATTTGCGCTATAAGCTATTTCGCAGTTGAGATTTTTTTTTTTTTTTTTTTTAACATTTTTCATGAAAAGATCATGACAAAATCTACGGACCCTCAAATTTTCAGACTTGTTTACGAGTTCTTCTGAGCGTGAAACATCTTTCAAATAGGGGTACTTTTCCCGTTGACCCACAAGTTGTCATGTGCCAAAAATAAAAAAGTGACGAATTGGTGCGACATTTATTTCATGGTCTAAACGATTTTATTTTATTTTGTTGATATTTTTCCTGGAAAGATCACGACCTGGCCTACCCGATATTCAGATATTTTCTCCAATTATTCTACGTACGAAAAATCGCCAAAGTTGGCGTTCGAAAATTGCAAAAGTGGACTCGCCTGTGCCTTTCAATCGGCGCCCCCCTTAAAAACCCGCCCTAACTCATCGGAATGCCAATTTTCACGACCCGGCCTCCCCGACCACCTGCGGGCAGCTACCGGTCCTCCAACAACGAAAACTTTTCAGGATCCGGCCTCCTCGACCTTCTGCGGGCAGCTACC